AAATAAAAACATAACAGAGAAAAAAAGAGTTTCAAGGCAGTTCAGCCTCATATTTAGCAGCCTCCCCATCAAGCTCATCCCAGTCAACTTCTGATGAATCAGAGTCAGAAGTAGATCCTACCATCCCAGGTTTGTGGCCAGAGGAAGGAATTGTTTTCTGTGTCACCTTATCATCCTCTAAAGAAATTAGATCAACCTCCCCTTTGTGAGAGGACACAACATCAGACTTAGAGCTGGCCCGCAAAATTTTTTCAGCTTGGGCAACTGTCTCAGAGATCTCAGGAGACCCCTCTCTATTTTGAATCATATCACGAATTAAATTCCAATAGGAAAAGGCGGTTACAGGAACTTTTTCAGGGCCAAATGTTTCATAATAATCTTGCAAAGCATCGCCAACCCTGACCCATTTCTTATAATTTATAGTTCCTTCCTCAGGGAACCATGGACACAAGTTTCTAACAAAATCAAAAAAATCTCAACAATCACTTGTCTTAACCTTTACTCCTCGCGTCTTGAGTGCCTTTTGTAATTGCTTTACATACATTTCATGACGGCTTAATTCTTGCCCCATATTCAGACACAATCACTAACCTCAGTAACAATGCAGCAGGTTCCTGCGAAGCCAAGGTTCTTTAATTTCGGGCGGCCGCCCCTTTTTTCTCCGTGCCTTCTTCCTCACGGGATCCCCCGTATCCAGGCCCCACGTTTGGGCGCCAAAAATGTCCCGACCCGCGGGATATTCAACGCAGACCCTGGAGGGGGGAGTGGGAATTGGATGGGACAAGAGACACGAGAAATTGAGACAAGACAGTATTCTGATCAAGTCTCGTTTATTGATTCTTAGGTTACATCTTATATAGGAGAAGGCAGGCATGCTGCAAAGGGTCTGGAATGTAAAGATATGATAATATCTTGAGGAGAGACAAAGACAGGACATTCAAAGTAAATGTTGCCACCCAGAATGTTTATGGTTAAACAGTTTCTAGAGAAGGATAAAAGGTCACTTGCAAATTAACTTGCATAGCCAGGAGCAATCAGTTTCTGGCATAAAGATTTCGAGGCAGTTATCATGTAAAGCACGGCCATCTGAGCAGATTGTCACGTAGGAGTGGTCTCACAAGAAGGGGTGTGGGGCTTCAGGTCCCCAACAGTGCAGGAGTCTAAATAATATTCAATTCGTGATGGGGCACCATGGCAGAATCTTAAACAAGGGAATGAGACATGATCAAACTAAAGTTTCAGAAATATCACTCTGACCACAGTGAGGAGCAGGAATTGGCAAGAAGCAAATCTGAAGGCAGGGAGAGCACTTATTTCCACGGCTGCTGTTTTCATCCAGGTGAGATTTCCAGGTTTGAAAGAGGGAGGAGTTGGGGTCATGGAGAAAAAGGGAAAGAGTACTGAGGTGGGAGGTCCCCTGGCAGACTAGAGCCCTGTGTCAGCTGCTAGTGGAGCCGTGGGGCAGTTTGGGCTCAGAGTGGGNGCAGATTGTCACGTAGGCCTGGTCACACAAGAAGGAGTGTGGGGCTACAGGCTCCCAACAACATGAAACAATATTTGCAGCTGTTTCAGGAAGGCCATGATGTGAAAGCTCCCCTGCAAGGACAGAGCTCTCAGATTCAAGTGCTGAGGCCACAGTACAGCTGCACACTGAGGTGACAGACTCGGTCTTCAATTCCAGCGAAGGCCTGTAGGCTCGAAAGTGAATACAAAAGGCACCGCAGTGCTCTAAGTTCTAGGGGTTGGGGACAATGGAAACACCACTCCTTGGAAGTCTTACTGCCTTAGGAGGTGTCCCTCACACATCTCATGTGCTGTTTAGGGGGTCTTTGTGCTACGGGGAAGGAGATCCTTCTTGACTAATGGGGTAAAATTTTAAACATGAAACTCTACCACATCTGGGCATAAAGCAGAACTCCCTGAGGGCTGAGCTAAAACTCTTTCCAGCCTTTTCTATCGTAGCCTATTCTCTACCAAAGATGTGCTGAAGTGAAGGTCCAGTTTCTCTCAAGTTAAGGTAAAATCATAGACTACCTCCCATGTTCTCCTTTGTCCCAAGCTTGTAACTCTCTAGATAGTGGTCATTATTCCCTTCTTTAGGGGAGCTTTGGGACTCACTGATGTTCATGTATAAACATGTCCTATTTTCTTCCAAAATTGCACCTTGCAATGAAACTTCCAGGCCTTTGGGGGGAAAGAGAATACTTTAAGATGTTTCTTCACCTTCTCCTTTTCCCATCCCCCTTCCAAACTATTTTTTGAACCTTTGTTCATATTTTTGAATGGAGTCAAAAATTAATGTGCGTGGACAATGTGATCCTAGCCCATGGGCCTCATAGAAGATGATAAACAACATTAGAGCTACTTCAGACTTGAAATTAGGTAGACTGTCCAAGTGAAAAACTTTATAAGCTGCAATTCACAACAAATGGTAAAGAAATTTTCTTATGAAGCAAACAGAAGCTACATGACTCCCCCTCTGGGAATTTATCCCCAGACTATTTTGACCCAGTAAAGTTCAACTTGAGGGGCCGGCCCGTGGCTCACTCGGGAGAGTGTGGTGCTGATAACACCAAGGCCACGGGTTCGGATCCCATATAGGGATGGCCGGTTCGCTCACTGGCTGAGCGTGGTGCTGACAACACCAAGTCAAGGGTTAAGATCCCCTTACCGGTCATCTTTTAAAAAAAAAAAAAAAAAAAAAAAGTTCAACTTGAACCTCAGTCTTTCTACTCTCAAAGCCTGGGCAATTTCTGTCCTCTTGCAGCCTGTCAGCTAGACAGTGGATTCTCCTTCTGGGCTCTGCTACTTTATTTTCACTAAGTAGCTATTCTCATGTTGTTTGGTCTCCCAACTTGGCCTCCCTTGACCTTGGTATTATAAGACTGTGCTCTAACTAATTGAGCTAACCAGACAGCCCTCCTTTACTTCTAAATAAGCAAATGTAAGCACAAAGATGTAGAATTACTTATTCAGATTTATCCATGATAAATGTTGAGGGTCAGGTTTCCCTTACTCTTGATGTTGTATGCTTCAGGAATTAAACCTTTTCCCTTTCTTTTTACTCTTCTCTACCTCAGTCCCTCCCTTGGTGGCCTCAACCAATCTCATGGTTTTAAATAACATATCAACAACTCTCAAAGTTATTAACTGCACCTCAAATTAACTCCATTTTCCCCTAGCTTGACGCTTGTCAAGGCCATCAGTGATCTCCAAGCTGCTAAATCTTCTATTCAGGCTTCTATTCGCTTTAATCTATCATCATCAGCATTCAATACAGTTGATTATTCCCTCATCCACTTGGTAATCTCATAGACTCTGCAAATCTACAACAGAATTTCTGATTCTCCCTTCCCCAACTCCACCACTGCACATCTGCTTCTCTCTTATAAATGACCATCTTATAGATGAGATTTCATTCTTCAAATTCAGTTTTTCAGCCACATTGAATTTGAGGTCCTAACAACTAAGAAAGCACTGAACAAATCAAAAGAGAAAAGCCATATATGATCATATCAATATACAAGAAAATCTAGCAGTCATTCAATGATTTTTTAAAAAGGAAAGTAAGAATTGAAGGAAACTACTTAAATATAATGCAGATACCAAAAATTAACAACAAATACTATCCTAGAGGACACGTTAATTAAAACTAAGAACTAAAAAGGGATGTTTGCTAAAATTATTATTCAACTTAATTTGGAGATTCATACCAACTTCGATATAAAAGAAAATAAAATGCTTGGTATTCACACTGAGGAACAGAAAAAACGATAAAATTATTTATTTGCTGTTGACAAGGAAAATCCCAAAGGTTTCTAGTCTAAAGAGTAAAGAAAGAAAAGTAGAATTATAAAAATTAGGAAGTTAGCTGGATACAAGATATCAACATATTCATTTCCTCCTAGTGGTAAGACCTAAAAAAAGAAAATGAAAAAAGTATTCCATTCATAATAGAAATAAGCCTATATATCAATTAAAAGTAAAATAAAGAAAGGTACATGATTTACATGAGATCAGTGGAAAAAAGAATACAGAAATAGATCCAATTATATAAGAATTTAATAAATAACAAAAATGATATATTTCAGTTCAGTGGGAAAATGGGTGGATTATTTAATAAATGGTGTCGGAACAACTGGCTATCCACCTGGGAGAAAGTAAATTCGAATTTTATCTTAAACGATATAAAATAAATTCTAGACAGATTAGAGACCAAAAATTGTTTAGAAAGCAAAAATATACCATAAACAAAGGAAATATGGAAAAAATGAAAATTAGAAAACTATCTGCAACACAGGTTTAAGGTTCATTTCTGTTATATAAAAAACACGAGACAAGAAAAAGATAAACTGATCCATGAAAAAGTGAGCAAGAAATATAAGCAGGCAATTCCCCAAAGAACATACCCAAATGGCCAATAAAACTAAAGAAAGAATGCATTAGTGGCCAGGGTAATGCAAATCAAAATGACAATGTGGAATAATTTTACACGCTTTAACTGGCAGAAATTAATGCTTGGAATAGAAAAATGTGTATCCACCATTTCTGGAAATGAGCTATTTTGGGGATATGTCAACACCTACTGAAACTTAAAATACACTCCAAAACCTATCAATCTTAGCTCTGGAACTCTATTAGTAGTTTCTTGTAACATGTTCAACAGTAGTAACTGGAAACATCATTGCTTATCAATAGGAAATGGATGAATAAACTATGCTCCATGTTAAAAAATAACTTGAAAGGATTTTCGAAAAGTTTTGTTAAAAGAGAAAAGAAAATGCAGAAGTGTATATAATATTATTTTGTAAAAAATTAATAATATCCTTAACCAAAAAAGCATGTATGTGTATTTACAGGTGTATGTACTGAATTCAAAGCAAACATCGATAGTTACATACCAGTTTGGTTAGAGGATGAAGGGAGCTAAACAAAACAACAGAAGGAAAAAAATAGAACTGATTATTAAAGAACTTATATGAGCATATGTAAAAATAAAGTTTTACCACTCACTGAGCAGCGCCAAGTAAAAGTTAAGTAAACCTGGCTCATCGTTTACTGTTTTTCCTAGGATGTGAAAAAAAGGCGTTATTAAAACCTGCGTTCCATTCCTGCCCACTGCTCCGGGGGGCGCGGAGAGAGCCCGAGGAGCGAGAACCCGGGAGCAGGCGCCAGAGCCCACAGCCCCTGGTCTTGGCGCCCCGCTGCACTCAAAATGCTGGGTCTGCGGCAGCGAAAGCCCGATCCTCCTACACTATTAACCGCACCCGGCACCAACTCTGTTTATATTCGTTCTGGTCTTGGCGCCCCGCTGCACTCAAAATGCTGGGTCTGCGGCGGCGAAAGCCCGATCCTCCTACACTATTAACCGCACCCGGCACCAACTCTGTTTATATTCGTTTTTCAATAAACAATTCAAATTACTGCTCGGATTTTGAAATTTACTGTTAACTGTGTATGGAACCATGTCCGGCTCCTGTTTCATTTTTACACCAACTTGGTAAAAATGCCGCTCTTGACACCCAGTCCGCCCCGAGACTCCCCACAATTGAACTGCACGTGAGCTCGGGGCGGGGAAAATTTTTTTCCCACTCTGTGGGTTGTCGTTTCACTCTGTTGATTGTTTCCGTGGGGGGGGGGGGGAGGGGGACCCAAAAAGCAAAAAAACAAAAAACAAAAAAAAACCCTTGAGTCCCAGAATTAAAATTGCAAACGCTTAAAAGAGCAATTCCGCGAAAGGGTCCCCAGTATTTAACGTAGGACGAACTTTTGTTTCTATAAACAGAGAAACCGGGTAAGGGCTTTTGGGATTCAGCTCTAAAACTCCATTGCAGCTAAACTCCTTTGTCCTGACCATGGTCCAAACCAAGCCAACAGCGAGTCCACACGAGGCAAGGCGCCTGCACGAGCAAAAGCGACCTGCGTTTTCAAAGCAGTCCTGACTGCACTGCAGGAGGTGAACAAGGTCTATCTGGTGGGCCTCTTCGAGGACAACAACCTGGGTACCATCCACGCCAGCCGGTCACCGTCATTCCCAAGGACAGACAGCTCGCCAGCCACACCTAAGAATATCGTTAAGCCATGGGTCTCGTCGATTACCCCAAAAGCATTTTTAAGAGCAAATTTCTGCAAAGGCCGCTTTAGCAATATTGGCCCCAAAACTCAACGTTTTGGTCATGAGCTACTTGAACATTGGCCACTTGTAGGGGCTTGGTTGGATAGGCCAAGAGGCACGTGGTACACGATTCAAGCCCAGGCCAGAGGTTCAAGTAGTTATCAGTAATGACTCTAGCATGGGGTGTAGGACTTAGAACTTCCAGGTATTTCTAAAACGTGTAATATACAGAGAACTTAAAACCATGACTACCTGAGGCGGGATTTGGCTTGGGGATTCAACCTAGCTTAAGATGTACTAATCCTAAGTGATTCTAATAAGAATTAATCTTGCATTGACAATGCACTGCATTTAGCATACAGACTAAAGTTCAGTCTCATTCGTGCACTAAAGCTCTTTTCCTGAAACAGGTAGGTGGCTCTTAAAAGAGCCGTTGGGTTGCTGGAAAAAGCTTCCAACCAGTACTTTACTTTTTCTTAGGTGCCGCCTTCTTGGGCTTGGCAGCAGCCTTTGGCTTAGTCACCTTTACCTTGGCTCCTTTTGGCTTTACAGCCTTAGCTTTAGCAGGGCTTTTGACTACCTTCTTAGGCTTCACAATTTTGGCCTTTCTGGGGCTCTTGGAAAATTTCTTTGCCACCACAGACTTCTTAGCCTTTTTTGGAGTCTTGACACTCTTCTTAGCAGCAGCCCCTGTGGCCTTTTTGGGCTTCTTAGAAGATCCTGTCGCCTTAGTTTTTACTGCTGCTTTTGTAGCGGCAGGCTTGGCTTCTACGGAGGCTTTCTTATTGAGCTTGAAGGAGCCAGAGGCGCCGGTGCCCTTGGTCTGCACCAGGGTGCCCTTGCTCACCAAAGTCTTAAGGCCCAGCTTGATGCGGCTGTTGTTCTTTTCAACGTCGTAGCCGGCAGCCGCCAGCGCCTTCTTGAGGGCGGCCAAAGACACGCCGCTGCGTTCTTTAGAAGAGGAAACGGCCTGCACGATCAGCTCCGACACAGAAGGACCCCCGGGCTTCTTCTTAGCAGCTGCTACAGCCTTCGTAGGTTTCTTTGTTTTCTTGCCTGCCGAAGGCTTCTCGGGAGCAGCAGATGCAGCTGAAGCGGGCGGTGCCGTCTCAGACATGGCGACTGCAGACACGAAAAAAAGCAAACTACTAAGACCTGAAAAGGCAGAGAACGCAAAAGGCCCCGGCGCAGACGTATTTATAGGGCGGGGCCGGGCCGTGATTGGTGCGCGCTGGTGCCCGCCCCTCGCACCCTAGCGCCCCCTACGCCGCCGCGGTACTGGCCCTGGGTCAGAAGGCGGCTGGGTGCCGTTAAGGGCCTGTCACTCCGCTTACCTTGAGAGAAAACGCACCCCCAAGAAACAGTCCCCGTCGACCCTTTGGGACGGAAATTTAAGGCAGGGCAGCATTGGACTTTGCCTCCCAGTAACATTAGAAGATGCAACTTTCCTCTCAAAAAGCAGCTTTTTTTTTTTTTGGCGGGGGGGGGGGGGGAAAAGTGGGGGAGGGAAAGAGGAAAGCGGAGGCTGTAGGCCTTGTCTGCAGGTGTGAGGCACGTCCTCATAAATACTATTGCATATCCTGGCAACGCTGAAGAGCGATATGTCTGCTGAATATCTTTCGTGTATTTTGGTCAAAGGAGAATAGGTCGTAGGAAATACAGTTTACTAACACCGCGGTTACAACTCCAACTGCATGTACGGAAGAGTATGCAAAAAAAAAAAAAAATCTGCAATTGCAACTTATTTCCGCAGTTCAATGTACTTCACGAATTTTCGATGCCCTTTCATCCTTATGACATACCCCAAAAGAGCGCTAAAGTTTTACAGCCTATCTTCCATGTCAGTACATGGTTCTTAGCATACCGTGACACGATCAGCTCATTCTCTTATTCAACAAAGATTTATGGAGTTCACAGTCGAGACTACAAACGTATTAAATAAACGCTCGGTGGATGAAACGGTTCCCTGTCAGGCACTGTGCCAAGTGTTAGATCCACTTACTGTGTAAACCAGAGAGCACACCGCTGGGGTAAGATTTTAGGGCAACCTCCCTTTAACGTGTTTGTGCCTATAACAAGCATTTAAAGGCATAAATATGCTAAAACGATTCACATTGCGAACCAGAGACTGTTAACTGGCGGGAGAACAAAAGGCCATTAAACCGACATCCCTTTCCACAGTCTTTTTCTGGGTAACCGCATAGTGCTCCCAGGAATGAGGAGGTGACATCTCATTCCCGCGCGCGCTGTTACGGTTTTCAAACAAGTCCGCACGGGCTTAAGGTAACCTGAGATTACCATTTCTTTCAAACGACATAACAACTAAATAAAGTAATGGTCCCAGACTCCACCGATCTTTGTTCCCTTTTTATTGAGAAGCTGTTTTCAAATGTATTAAGTAACTTATGAGAATTTGGAAGAGAACAATTGGAAAGAAAACCACGCATTTTAAAGTGCAGTTAGTTGTAAAAGTTATGCAAATTGTTAGACATAAACCTTTCTTAGTGTAATAAATGAGGCATATAATCAAATGCAGCTTTTAAGACGAAAATACTCCGAATTTGTCTGATTTAAGAATGGTTTCTACACTAGTTTCATATTTAGTAGTGGAAAATTTCTGCTTGCTTTGTTTCCATTGGGTTAAATTGTGGCTTCAAATAAAAAGGTAATGGCTCCATGCAAATGAAGGATGCTAAATCTGCTTTCTTATTGGCTATCGGAAAAATGAAGTAAACCAATCAAAAGGTACAAGCTGGTCTACCCTCCAGTATGTACGAAAGGGTCACATCCACCATTTTAGCGTTTGAGACTACTGTGAGACCAGCTTTTAGCGCGACCACGTTAAGTTTTTCGTTGTGTGGACTCCCAATTATTTTTGGACAAAATCCATTTCATGTTCCCGAGTTGCCGGTTTCACGTCCCTCTGGAACATTCAGTGGCAGCCTTAACGAGGCAAAAGTAAGTATCCATAACCGTTGTAAAGGCAATAATTCCAAGCTTGTCTGGCGAGTACCCCAGCGTATCCGCCGGCTGTGCTGGAGAACCAGACAGCCAACCGCCATTTTGACCTCGCAAAGTATACCCTAGGCTTAAGAAAACGAGAGCTTTGGAAAGCTGCAGGTGTGGAATTCAAAAGAGCACAAACGTTTAATAAGATGTCTCATTACAGGAAGTGTTTCTATGAACGTTTCTGTGATGATAGTGTAACTTTATTATGTTTTATTTATGCTTTGTAGGTTTCAGTGGAGGTCTTTAGTCAATTAAAGCATGACAAAGAACCCCGTTTTTGTAAAGGGCTTCAGAGAATTTTAGCCCGGCATCACGAGCAGGGAAGTGTAAATTTCGGGGAAGAGATGAGCCTCAGTTTTTTTTTTTTCCTCCCAAGTACTGGGTGTTATACAGAATTGGAGAGCTACAATACTATTGAAATCAATGTCTTTAGTTTCATGAAAGGTAACATTCTCAAAGCACTGCTTTCACGTTATGAAAATCAAGGGGAAAAGGAACAATAAAAAAAAAACTGGAAGAGCCGTGGATAGAATATAGCAGCCAATTAAGCTGCACGTTTGTTGGGCCTTTTAAAAATAAGCCAATCAGAGCCTTCACGTCATTAGATAGGCATTTTCCTCATCCAATCATTACTCTTCACATACTATAAATAACAGCAATGAGGCTGGTCGACATATTTGCTCAGCTGCTTTGGTGTGTTGTTACTGCTGCTTTGTATCATGGCTCGTACTAAGCAAACTGCTCGCAAGTCAACCGGAGGCAAGGCGCCCCGCAAGCAGCTCGCCACCAAGGCAGCCCGCAAGAGCGCACCGGCCACCGGCGGCGTCAAGAAGCCCCACCGCTACCGGCCCGGCACCGTGGCCCTGCGCGAGATCCGCCGCTACCAGAAGTCCACCGAGCTGCTGATCCGCAAGCTGCCGTTCCAGCGCCTGGTGCGCGAGATCGCGCAGGACTTCAAGACCGACCTGCGCTTCCAGAGCTCGGCCGTGATGGCGCTGCAGGAGGCCTGCGAGGCCTACCTGGTGGGGCTGTTTGAGGACACCAACCTGTGTGCCATCCACGCCAAGCGAGTGACCATCATGCCTAAGGACATCCAGCTAGCCCGCCGCATCCGCGGAGAGCGAGCGTAGTTATACTAACATCTTTCTTTGAGACTTAAACCAAAGGCTCTTTTCAGAGCCACCCACGTTTTCAGTTAAAATGGCTGTAAAAAACACGGGACACTAACCTGAAGGGTGCATAAGTCAGCTAAGCGTTAGAAACAAAAGAAAATGCATTCGGGTTAGGTGCTTTTGCTGAATTTTCCCGCTAGAGGGTTAAAGAGACGTGAAATAGGCATTTTATGAGCATTAAATACGGCTTCTGGAGCATCAAATCTGAGAGAAAGAGCTTTACCAAAACGTGGCTAAATCATTAAAAGAAATGGGCTTGTCACTATGAACTGTGCAGTTTGTCTTAGACGTGAAATTTATTGTTAAAAGATCTTTTTGCCTTATAAAGTGTCCTATTTAAAGTATTTTTAGAATCAATGAGTTTACGTTTGAATTACAAACCTAATTCCTCCAAACAACAATGCAGCTCAGTTAGGAAGCAAATACCAGTGGTCAAACTGGCTTTGTCCCACCCCTTTCCCTCCAAAACCGCCTTCCCCGGTGAGTTCCTGAGGCTTGGAAGAAGACCTGAGGGGAGGGGACTGCAGGCATCACATTTCCCGCCTGCGCGCTTTTCGTTCTATGTATCTGCTGGGAGCGGGAGGAAGGGGGTAGGTATTTATAAGGATCGGCTCCTTATTTCATTTTCTGTAGGTTCGTTTCTTGGAGAGTCATGTCTGGACGCGTAAGGGTGGGAAGGGTTTGGGTAAGGAGGGCGCCAAGCGTCACTGCAAGGTCTTACGCGACAACATCCAGGGCATCACCAAGCCCGCCATCCGGTGCCTCGCTCGGCGTGGTGGCGTCAAGCGCATCTCCAGTCTGATCTACGAGGAGACCCGCGGGGTCCTCAAGGTGTTCCTGGAGAACGTGATCCGCGACGCAGTCACCTACACGGAACACGCCAAGCGACAGGGACACACCCTTTATGGTTTTGGCGGTTCAGGTTTCTGGTTTCGTCAGAGCTTGCACTTCTGAACAAAAGACCCTTCTCGGGGCCGCCCAACTATTCAAAGAAGAGCTGTATAATATAATCCAAGCAACTCAGTGTGTATTAAAAATCAATAGTACTGAGCTAACAGCCTTGAGGACAGAGACGATTGCCGTAAAGGCAAAGCTGCATTTTCCCCACTCAGCTTCTTTTACCTCCACTAACTGGATATGGGTAGGGCAGTGATATTGCAAAATCTTTAAAGAAAAAGGAATGGAAAAGAACCAAGTGTTCTGCAAAAGTTGCATCGGTTTTCAGGGAACAAAGAGAAACACTGCCCAATCAGCGAGCCTTATCCGTGGCTGTCAACCAATCAAAACTGATGAGCTGATATGGTTCCCTGAAGCTAGCCAGAGAGGGGGGATGGGAAAGCGGCAAAATGCCGTTTTATTGGATTTTTAAAATTTGTCTTTCTTTTTACGGATTACAAAAGAGTGAGAGACATCTAAATATCCCGCAATCATGTATTGAGAATAATACTGAAATTATCCCTGCCAATACGTTGATGTATCTCTTAAAAAAAAAAAAATCTCTGAAAAGGAAACCGGATTCAGACTCTGCCAGAATAACCAGGACACTGATTGGATTCAGGGGTGATTAAAATCCGGTTTAGGGAGAAAAGGCACCTCTTTCTCTCAGTGTCAACACAGCCCTTAGCAGTTAGCCCCCACTTTTTCCTTCCTTCCCAGAGAAGTGGAAATTAGGGTGCTGGAAATGTTCTAAGATTGTGGTGATGGTTGTACAAATAGTAAATACAGTGAAATTCATTGAATTGTACACTTAAAAGTGGATGAGTTTTACAGTATTAAAGTATATCTCAAAGCTGATGTATATGTGTGTGTATATGTGTACACACACACACACACATGTTTTTTTTTAAAGATGACCGGTAAGGGGATCTTCACCCTTCACTTGGTGTTGTCAGCACCAGATCTCCCAAGTGAGCTAACGGGACATCCCTATATAGGATCCGAACCCATGGCCTTGGTGTTATCAGCACTGCACTCTCCCGAGTGAGCTACAGGTCTGTCCATATATTTTTAAAGAGAGTGATAAAGGAAGAGTGGCAGGAGATGAGATTGGTAGGGGCAGTACTGTTGGTCTGAGGGCTCCTGTGCTAGACTTAGAAGTGTGGATTTTGTCTAGTCAGTTATTTTAGCCACGGAGAATTTTTACAGGTCTGTCCATATATTTTCTACAGGTCTGTCCATATATTTTTAAAGAGAGTGATAAAGGAAGAGTGGCAGGAGATGAGATTGGTAGGGGCAGTACTGTTGGTCTGAGGGCTCCTGTGCTAGACTTAGAAGTGTGGATTTTGTCTAGTCAGTTATTTTAGCCACGGAGAATTTTAAAGGATGTCCCTTATGCAATTATGTGTTCCAATAGTATATCAGTCTTCAGAACTCAGCTGGAGAAGGGATGTGAATACTTGAGGTTGGCTAATAGGGAAACATCTTACTATCATCTTAAGATATACTCACAGTTGCTTTTTTGGTATCATTTTTATAGGGAGTTAATTTCAGCCTCAGTATGTTAGCTTTGGCCATGGCTGTGTCTCTCCTTGAGTTTTGGGTCCTGTGTTACATCTGACAATCATCCAAGATCCCTTGGGGAATAAAAGTACCCATCTTGGCTTTATTTATTTAGTTATTTATCTATTCACTCCCCACCTCCCACCCTCATCTATTTAAAGTTGACAATGGAGAGAATTCATCCTGGATATTTTCAGGAATCACGGAGTCAAAGGAGAAAAACTGGACCTATTAGGGATGGTAGTCATTTTATGTCCTCCTTAGCTGGTATTATTCCTTCTGAGGGTATTTATTGACCTCATGTAATGTGCCAGATACTGTTGTAAAACAATGGGTTACATCAGTGAGCAAATTAGAATTCTCTCTCCTCATGACCAGAGTCAAAGCAAAAAGGTTTATGGACACAGATTTCCTACGTAGGAGATGTGGTTGTGGTAATAGCCAAAACTGGCTTGTGTTATGGCCTACCTGGCCTTTTGAGTTCATAGAATTGCTGATAGAATCATACCCACCACCTCTGTGCCTTCCTCAATTTTTTTTGGCAGCTGGCCTGCGGCAGGGATCCCGGCCTGTGACAGTGATGTTATAAGGCTGCACTTTAACCAATTGAGCTAACCGGCCGGCCCCTTCCTTAATTCTAACACTCATGCAGTCCTTGTTCACAAGGAAAATAATGCTGCTTGATTTGTAACCCCCTGCGTCATCCCTTAGATCTCAGAGAAAAGTGCCATGCTGATTGCTTCAGGAAGTGGCAAGTCAAGGAATTGGAGGTGGGGAATCAATTGTAGCAGCACTCAGATGTGCCTGGTGTAGGCCTGAAGACTTGTGTAGAATATTCATGCATGCATTTATTCAAAACACAGCTCCACAGAATACCTATTAGATGTCAGTCCTGTTCTAGGTGCTAGCAATACTTCAGGGACAAAACAAAGTCCCCACTTTCAAGGACTTATATTTTAGTATAATTCAAGATATTATATTCTAGTAACAAAAAAAATCAATGAAAAAATATTGTTACAGGTGGAATACTTTAAAAATGAGCAGAAAAGGATATTATTTTACAAAGTGTGGTCATGGCAATTCTTTTTCATTTGGCATGTATTCAAATACAGGCCTGAATGAAATGAGGTTTATCTACAGCCATGCAGATATCGGGATGAGACACTTCTAGAAAGAAAGAATACAAAGGCTCTGATGCTGGAAATGCTTGGTCCATTCCAGAAACAGCAAGGAGGTCAGTGAAAAGAAAGAAACGGGATAGAGAATGAGCTGAGAGGGTAGCCAGGGACCAGATTTGGCAGAGCCTTCTAGGTAGGTTGGCCAACTCATCCTGTTTTGTCTGGGACTTTCCAAGTTTTATCACTGAAAGTCCTATATCCTGAAAAACCCCTCTGACTCAGGCAAACTGAAATGGTTGGTTACCCTACTTGTAGGCTGTGATAAAGATGCTGGTTTTTATTATAAGGACTAAGAAAAGCCACTGGAATGTTTAGGGCAGAGGGTGGACATAATACATCTAAATGGATCATGGTGGGGAGGTCGAGTAGAAGTGGAAAGTCTAATTAGGGGTCACTGTGGTCATCCAGACAAAAGGTGATGGTGGCTTATTCTAGAGAAGCAACAGAGGATGTAGTGAAAGGTAGTCTGATTGATTTGAACACAGAGCTGACTGGACTGGATGAAAGTTGTGAGAAAGGTCAAACAGGACTGAAAATTTTCTGGTGTGAGCCTCTGGAAGAATGGAGTTCCATTTATTGAGGTGGAGAATATTGGAAGAACAGATTTGATGTTAATGTTTCGAGATACCTATTTTGGACAAGTTTGAGATGCCCGTTAGGTATTCAAATACATATGTCAAATATGCAGTTGGATATATGTCTACAGATTAGGGGAGAGGTCAGGGAGAGTATTTATATAGCCAACACTATTTTTCTTACATTACGTTTCTTTGTGAAGCATGAAGTGGATGGAAAGAAACTGATAGCATTTGGAGAGGTGACTAAGGCCATCCTCCAAAAAACAAACATTGGGAATGAGAAACAGCTGGAAGCTGCGACTATCATAGGCTTTGCCATTTCCACAAGTTGACCTGACACTTAACAGCTAGTCTATGGAGTTCTCTCGTTGAAAGTAAACTATTTCACAGACCACAGAACATATAAGTGGTGAATTTCGATGAGATGACCAAGAACAGAGAGGGGTGCCACAAGTGAGCCAAATTCACCAGCGCACATGACTAGAGTATAGCTTTCCTGCTCTATGTAGGGCTATGCGGTATTCCATTTTATGGCCATCGATCATACTTTATCCAGTAGCTTGTGACACAATTTCCACTCTTTCGCTATTACAAACAATGCTGCTTTAAATTATGTTTAAGTTTTTAGCGATCTTGTACAGTCTCACCATTTATATGCTGACGACTCTGATATTTACCTCTAACTCAGACCTCTCACCTGAACTCCAGAATCTCACTTATAACTGCCTACTCAGCTTGTCCTCCAGGGTCAGAGTCTATCAGCAATCAGACTACCTTTCACTACTTCCTCTGTTGCTTCTGTAGGATAAGCCAATTTTTTTTTTTCCTGAAGCAGCCATCAATACATTTCTCAAGTATTATATCAAAGATGCTGAATATTCAATTGGCTGATTCCTGAATTGGCACCTAGCTTTTTAACGTTCCATAAACATACTGTTTTTTGAAATTTTCATAGCAAAAAAAATATCTTGCAATTTATAGCAGGGAGAGGAAAGAGGGAGGATGAACTAGGGGGACAGTGGGGCCGGGGATGATACAAAAGCCTCCTGAAAGCCACCGTTACCCGAGAGAGCTTACGCCTTCCAGTTCCTTCGGCGAGGCCCTGCCACGGGCCCCGGAGTTAGAAGATCGAATCAGACCTTAACTGTAACACAGACTCCTTCGGCCTAGTTAGTGGGAATTTACAAACTGCTTAGGCGGACTGCTTAGGAGGGTCCCCTCCTGAGGACGGAAATCAGGAACGTTAAGGCGCCTCTAAACACGAGACTGGGTTTAGGTAGGGGGGTGACCTCACTCAGCATGACCGAAGTGAGGGCGGTCACCGGCCTGGTTGGTAAGGCGAGAGAGAGGACTGGACAAAAAGGGGAAGGCCAAAGGGCCACTCTTCCCTGACGTCGCTGAAGGGCACATACACTGGAGTAAACACCCGGCGTTGGGATGGCAACGTTTTAACCTAGCAGCCGGCAGCAGCTTCGCGAGCTCTCGTCATTTGTTCAAATACTTAACTGAATAATTCTACAGCTACAAGGCAAGCTTAACACTTCACTGGGCTGCCGTTGTACCAAAAAAGCTGCCTCCCTACCGAAGGGGGGAGGTGCCGTTTAGTCCGTTTACAGGTGACGTAGGGGGAGGTCAGGCCTCTCTCGAGGAAAAGCGCGGGGCACCCATTGTCTTTGCGTCCTTCATACTGACGGCCACAGGGGCCCGGGAACCTCCCGCGAGTTCCGACCGCTAGGCTCCTTACGCCAGCTTTAGTTCCCGCCCTCAAAGAAGCCCTTGCTCCCTCCTGACCGGCCCGGCGCAGCCGCTGTGCGCTCCGCCGCCATAAGGGGGGCCGGAAGCGGGCGAGCGGGTGGGTATACCGGTAGCCGAGACCACGCTTAGTCTGGGAACGGAGGGAAGTTAACAGCAGCAACAGAACAGCCGAGCACAGCTCTTCTTCAGAGGAAGTGGGAGGCCCTGAAAAGGGCCGTTCAGAAGAAACGTAAAGATTTTAGCCCCCGAAACCGTAGAGGGTGCGTCCCTGGCGCTTGAGCGCGTAGACCACGTCCATGGCGGTGACAGTCTTGCGCTTGGCGTGCTCCGTGTAGGTGACGGCGTCGCGGATCACGTTCTCCAGGAACACCTTGAGGACCCCGCGGGTCTCCTCGTAGATGAGGCCGGAGATGCGCTTGACGCCGCCGCGGCGGGCCAGGCGCCGGATGGCGGGCTTGGTGATGCCCTGGATGTTGTCACGCAGGACCTTGCGGTGGCGCTTGGCACCGCCCTTGCCAAGACCCTTCCCTCCTTTGCCACGTCCAGACATAGCTTAAAGTCTCACAGACAACAGGAGCAGTCAGTGAAGTGACACGTTGAACCACGGGTAATTATAAGCAGAAATCGGACCTGATTGAGAACCGAAAGCGGGACAATGAGGCGGTACTGCTGCACCTTCTGCTCCGCCCCTCCCTAGGCCGTGACCCAAAGACTAAGTGTGAAAGAGAACGTAGTGAATAGTTTCACTTTATACCTTGAGTTTTTCCCTCCTGTTTACTACACTGCTATTTGAATCTGAAGCTAAACCTTTGTTTGGCAATTTTAATGAGGGCTTATGTTTTAATGACAAAGCACTTGAAACAGTTGAAGATATAGTACTCTGGCATATTGCCTACTAAAGGTAAAGACACTTGAGGGTCGGCCCGTGACTCACTTGGGAGAGTGTGGTGCTGATCACACCAAGGCCACGGGTTCGGAACCCTGTATAGGGATGAACCCGTTAGCTCACTTGGGAGAGCGTGGTGCTGACAGCAGCAAGGCAAGGGTTAAGATCCCCTTACTGGTCATCTTAAAAAAAAAAAAGTTAAAGACACTTAAAAAATAGCAGGTGCCTCTGTCTGTAGCACTTCAGGGTGGGGGTTTGGGGTAAGAACAGCAGGTGCAGAAACATCATTCTCACCTTCATTCTTAAAAGCAGAAGATGAAATTGTCATATGATGAAATTCCCTTGTGAAAAATGTCCTGCTTATACTAGAAAAAAAAAAAAGCAACATTCTTTTCAAGGACTGGAAGTTAAGGCCAAGACAATTTTGTACAATCTTTGTTAAACTAACCCTGATTCCTAGTCGCTTTTCTACCATGTTTAATACCCTAGCCCAAGCCCTTTTGCCTTATCACATTCTCACAGTTTACTATTCTTTGTCCAAATAAGTAACTGACTGTGTCTTTGGGTCTTCATTTTCTTGTAAGGGCTCCCATGCCACGTAAAACTTGTGTTAAATAAATTTGCATGCCTTTCTCCTTTAATCTTTCTTATGTCAACATAATTTTCAGGCCCCACCAAGACCCTAGGAGGATGAAGGTGGAATTTTGCCACCCCCTACACTCTGTATTTTCTCATTCAGAAGAGAAGGATTGTTAGCTTTGTTACCTTGTAACCTTGCCTTCCTTTTGTTCATCTGTAAAACTGTGGTAATGATAATACTTATGAACCTTTTGTGAGAATTTAGGTTAGCTAATGTAAGTAAATCATAAGAGACTGTCACTAAGAACTACTACTACATAAATATGTTTTTTTGGGTTTTTTTTTTAAAGATGACCACTAAGGGGATCTTAACCCTTGACTTGGTGTTGTTAGCACCACACTCACCCAAGTGAGCAACCAGCCATCCCTATATAGGGATCCAAACCCGTGGTCTTTTTTTTTTTTTTTTTTTTTTTTTT